GGGGAGAGCTGGGGGGGCAGGCCTCCATGGGGCCAGGTCTGCAAGTCCTCCGTGCTCGTGCTCGACCCCCATCCTTGAAGTTCTTGGGGCACCGCCCAGCCCCTCCAGGTCATCTCCTTTTCAGCGTCACCTGGGTGGGCTCCAGGGACCCGCAGACAGCCTCTCTGAGGGTCTCTGGGGCTTCTCAGTCAGGAGGGGAGTCGGGAAGCAGGAGGAAGTGTGTGTCATCGATGCCCTGCTGGCCGACATCAGGAAGGGCTTCCAGCTGCGGAAGACGGCCCGAGGCCGAGGAGACGCGGAGTGGGGCAGCAGGGCGGCCGCCACGGACCCGCCGAGGGACAAGGCGCCTGGTGAGACCCTCTCCCGCCTCTCATCACCATTTCCCTCCTGCCGTCCTTGCTGCCCGCCCCCGCCTCCGGGAAGCCCTCTCTGACCTCACAGGAGAGTCCTCCGGGCAGCTCCCTCGTTGCCTGAGAAATGGCATGGCCACGAGGTGGGGCTAGAGGGGCAGCTCGGCCTCCTGGTGCCCCGTCCGCAGCGAGGGCCTTTGGCAGGCGCCCCTGTCCCCCGGGCCCAGAGGTGCTGAGGTGGTGGGAGAGGTGGGCACGGGGCCTGGGGGAGGGGCGCTCCGCTCAGCGTGGCTGCTCGGTGGGGGGGCGCCCTAGGGAGGCTGAAGTCAGCCCAGGGTCCCCTGCTCGGCCACACCATGGGCCTGCTCTCTGGGAACCCACACCTGGAGGCCACCAGGGAAGTCTCCTGGGGCTGTGGGCTCTGCAAGGCTGGTGGCATTCAGGTAGAAGCTGGGACGGACGGAGGCCTCCCCCTCAGGCACATCCTCAGGATGGTCTGGGAGTCGGGGCCCACCCTCAGCTGCCATGTCCTGTGTCCACAGCGGCCCCCAGAGTCCCCTCCGGAGGCACCGGCTGCCCCACCTCTGAGCCCCGGGGCTGGGACCTCTCAGATGCCACTGCCCCGGGCCCACAGCCTCCTGCAGACCCGTCAGAGGAGGGCGGGCCTGGGCCCCTGGAGAGGCGTTCTTCTTGGTACACGGACGCCAGCGATGTCCTGACCACCAAGGACCCCCAGAGCCCCCAGCCTTCTCAGGGCGCCTGGCCCGTGGTGCTGGGAGATGCTCAGGCCCTGAAGCCTCTCAAGCTCTCTGGTGACAAGCCCCCCGGGGCCACAGGGTCGAGCCAAGATGTTGAAGACCCCACAGCCCTTCAGGGCGTCTGCCTGGCTGAGGCCGACAGCACCGTGGAGGGGCCGCCGGACGCAGCTGCCCAGCTCCCCGCCACAGGCCCTGGCGTGGCTGGGGATGGGGACCAGGAGGGCACAGCCCCAGATTCTGCACTGGACACGTCCTTGGACAAGTCCTTCTCTGAGGACACAGTCACGGACTCTTCAGGGTCCGGCACTCTCCCCAGGGCCCGGGGACACGCCTCAAAGAAGACGGGCAAGCGAAGGAAGAAGCGCCCCTCAAGGAGCCAGGAAGGTAACTTGGGGCTCCCCTCCCGTCATTCCTCGTCCCCTGGCAGCAGGGGACCTGGGTGGGCAGGGCACATGGGGCTTGGAGGTATTGGCGTGTGACCCACAGCGGGACCTCGAGCTCCGAGCCACGGCTGGCCATTCCCTCCTCTCCCCCCAAGAGTGGGTGATGCCCAGGACACCCCACGTCCTGCAGGAGAGGGGATGGCCACCCTCCTGCTCATGAGAGGAGCAGCTTCGGGAGGGGGGAGCACTGCCCTTGTCCCCACGCCCCTCGCCCACCAACTCCCGTTTCACACCGTCCCCAGCAGGAGTGGTGGCCGGGGCGGGTGTGGCCAGGGGCTGCCTGAGGCCCAGCCGTGTTCGGCTCCGCATCCACGCAGCCCGAGTGCCGGGCGGCCTGGCCCCAGCTCCGAGTTCAGGGTAGGTCAGGAACAAGCTGTTGAGTGACTTCTCTTATTTGAAAGCAGAGGTTGTCCCTGACTCTGACGATAATAAAACAAAAAGACTCTGTGTGATTCAGTAAGGTACGTACCCGTGCTGGCGCCGCGCACTAATGGTGGTCGCAGAGGCCAGGCCTGCACCCAGCCCCTCCTGGACGCTAACCCGCTTCCTCCAGCCCACCTGGGCCTGTCAGCAAGCCTGCCCGCCTCTGCCGCTGGTGGTGGGACCCACCTGGCTTCTGCCTTCCCCTCCCTCCCTGGAAGGGCAGGAGCCGTGCCTTGCTTAGCGGGTGTCTCCGCTGTGGCCAGATGTGACCTTGGAGCTGTGCGCTGGCAAATAGGTCTCAGGGCGGCGGGGAGGGGGGCTTTGATGGCGGAGGGGGGGCTCTGATGGCGGGGTTGGCTTGGCCTCCTAGGCCTGGCAGGACAGACGGAGGTTGCCCCTGTCCCAAGCGGTCTGGCTAACCCGGGGCTTTCTTGACTCCTATCCCCCAGGGTGGCACCTTTATTCTGAGACCTTCCATGAGGCACACCCCAGCCCTCTTCTGGCCCTTGTCGGGCCACAAATGTCCCCAGGGAGGCAGTGAAGGACAGAGACAGTCCCAGGGGCCGGCTGCCAGGGAGAAGCAGGCCACAAGCCCTCTCCAAGGAATGGACGGACCTCCCCTCCCTGGCGGCCAGGTCCTGGGGACCACAAATGGGTCTGTAGGCACATCCCGGGTCCACTGCCCCAGGCCTCCCGGGACCCCCGAGGATGGGCAGGACCGTCATTGTCTCTAACGTGGCCCGAGAGGCTCACAGATGCAGACAGACAGGCCCGGGGTCCCTACTGCATTCTGGACTGTGCTAGGGGTGGGCAGACCAGTTCATCACAAGCAGGGAGCCACCTGGTTCTGCACACACCTGCACCCAGCTCGGTGCCACGGTGCTGTGCTGACCTGCAGGATTCGGGGCACAGAGGAGAGGTCCAGCGGTGCCCAGAGGAAGCAAAGGCAGGAGCCAGGTCAGGTGTATCCCTCTTTACAGTTTATCCTCACTATTGGGCACAGCCTTTAGTCTCAGTTCCAGAGTTTGCTCCTGGGGTTACTTTCTGAGCTTGGCTCTCTGGTGGGAAACACCAGCGTTAGCAAGTGGGGCCGAGTAGTCTGTGGGTTTGGGGGGCTGGCAGCCGCATGTGGCCACTGCCCAGGGAAAGATCAGGGTGCCGAGCACAGCTCTGTGCTCTCTGTGGACCGCCCCCGTCCTCCAGCATAGCGGGCCCGCTGCCGCATGCCCGCTCCCCCGCCCTGGGCCCCAGCACCCCAGTGGCTGGGGCAGGAGAAAGGAATCCTTGTCTCCTCAACCTTTTATTTGGAAAAACTTCAACCAGACAGGGAATTTGCAAGATCGCAACGAGCACCACATACCCTTCACCCTGAAAGGTCAAGAACTTGCAAAAAATAGCGAAATTACCAGCATTTGCTGCATTGCTCTCAACTTTACGAAAGGGTTTGAGAGTTAGAGGCACCATGCCACTTGAACCCGGCCCCCAGGGTCCCCTGAGGGTGAGGCTGCTCTCCCCACCCGCCACCCAGGACGTTTCGGGGTCTGTCGTGTGCAGCCCCAGGCCCCAGCAGGGCCCGGGCAGGGGTCCCACCTTGCCTGGTTGTTTTGGCTTGTTGGAAGTGAGACGCCCCCCCCCCCCCCGGGACCGTACATCCAGCCTCTGTCTGTCTCAGGCGGCACCCGTGTGGAAGGCACCTTCACTTCAGGGGTGTCCCACGACCGCCCCCCCACTGCTTCTGGATTGTGTTTGGGGCAGGAATTCAACACACGTGATGTGGGTCCTCCCCAGAGCCCCTCAAGAGGGGCTTGGGGCCTTTTATCCCCTGGGTGGGGGCCTGGATGCCGATTACCTGGTTGAGGTGACGATTTGGGAGCCCCCTGCTATGTGGTGCCCCAGCCCCACCTTGCCCTGGGTCCTGGCACCCTGGGGGGGGGGCTGACAGAAACTCTGCTCTGAATGACTTTTGACTTTTATTCTCACTTCTGTGCCCTATCTCTTTCAAGCATGATCCTCAAACCCATCTGTTCAAGACCCACAGGGAGCCTGTGGTGGCCATGGGGGCGGGCATTTGCAGGGAAGAGCTGAGCAAGGGCCCCTGGACCAGAGGGCTTTGGGGGGCAGGGCGCCTGCAGCTGGCAGGAACTGTGGGGGCGGGGCCCTGGGGACCAGAGCTGGAAAAAGACAAGTCAGGAGGCATCCAGTATAAGGGGTGGATAGGGAAGCAACTGAGGAAGCTCCAGGGAGAGG